AATGCAAAATAGTGAAATAAACAGTAAAATAAGATTTTTAGACCGCTTAGAGATGACCCAGCGGTGTATACCACATCCATTATTCTCTATCTTATCACTCTCTTGCAGGTATCCTTAGCACAGTGATAAGTTCAATAAAATACGTGATCTCGAATGGTTTTCACTTCCGTCGCCATTGCTGCAACTCCAAATGTTAAATCATCTGGATTTTTCAAATTCTTAAAGCGAGAGCTCTGAAAATTTCGATGAAGCGGGAAGGGGAGGGGGAGATCAGAACAAGAACTTCAGCTTATGTAGAGGTTCAGACGCAAAGTGCAGGCATAAAAATATTAGTGTATCTCAAGCTTCAAAGTATTACAGCGCTTTAATCTCCTTTAGCATATTATAGCATCAGCGAAATTTATCATTCAGATCTTATCAAGTAGTGCGAATTTACTGTAGTGATTCTAAAAGAACTATAGTTTCAGATATGTTCTACTCATCAAAGCTCCCTCAAGATTTGACTTGAATTTGTGAAAGTTGGAATCATTACCCAATCCATCCCAGATTGCTAGCATTTGCTAGCATCACAATTTTTACACAACTACTTACCTATCGCACCTAGTGGCCGTATATCAACGAACCCTGAGGATAAACCTTAATCTAGTGAGTAACTTTTATCCCCAAAAGCACAAAACTCGTATACACGAAGCACAGGGTAGGCTTAACCTCAAGGGTTAAACCCATCCTTGATGGTAAACCTTACCCCGTATTCATTAACGAAAGCGATTGACCCGTATTCATTAACGACTCCGAGGGTAAACCCTTCCCTTGAACAGTATTCATGAGTGAGCGTGGCTCATCAGGGCAAATTTAAGCCCAGCAAGAGCAAGGTTTAATCTACTTTGACACTTAGTTCAAACATAAAGTGATCTCGCGATGCACCACCCAGTCTAAACGATACCGTTTTGGAAACAAAGACGTATATCTACATGATGATTATTATCTAATTTCCCTAAGTCCTCATTTCGTCTCGCTTAATCTTTTCTCAGTATTTTGTTAATCTTTGAGTGTATCGAGTTGAGCTACGATAGTTTGATCATGCATAAAATTATTTACTGAACGAGTACATTGCTGGACTAAAATTTGAATGAGGGTGTTCCATATTACGAATCTTTTCTGAGTTGTTGAGCTTGATGTTCGTTATATCAAAACTCTTAGTTGGACATGTGCTTCAATAAACTAAATGTCTTACTGTAACTATCCGGCAGAATATAATTGCGGAAGATAACACTGGACGGAACGTCGAAAAGTGTCTATAGGAAGTTTGAGATAGTAGTAATTATAAATGTGTTTGTTATTAAAACAGTATGGGAGTGGGTGGTGCATCAAACAAAGTGTCAGAGTGAATCTAGTCTCGCCCTAGGCTAGGGACTTACCTTGATGAACCACGTTCCGGAATACGGATTCATCGCTTTCTGCGGTGAGTTTTACCCTTAAGGGTAAGATTTACCTTCAAGGTTCTTGACGAATACGGGTCGTGCGCTTCCCGGGGTAAACCCCTACCCTGTTTACCCCTAGGGTTCGTTGATGAGTACAGTCACAAATCAACTTTTGGTGAAAGATGTGCAAATGTACCGGCTGGGGCGGCTTTGTCATAGATTTGAAATTAAAGAACAGGCAAAAAAAAACAAAACAAAACAACAGAGCTTCTTCACCTAGATTAAACTCTCATGGTTTTCACTTGAAGTTAGCCAATCCATGATATTTGCTTGTCTATACTCGTAGCCTATGTTTTCATTTATTAGGTTGTCCCGAAAGTTTTGTCCGTTTTTTCAACCTATCATAAAAATACGTGGAACAAAGAGAGGGAAACGCTCTAAGCACTACCCGACGCATCTTTTCCTCCTCTTTCTAACTGTTATGCTTCCATGCCGATTAATCTTTTGTTCACTGAGATAAACGCCGAAATTTTGTACCCATGGTTTTTACTATGTCCAAGTTTGACAATTTTTCACAATCCAAATTTTCAACTTTTGGAAGACCTTTGATAGCCCTCAGATAGACTAAGCCAAGGGCAATGCAATGCAATTATTTGGCATATCTAGCTGGCTTTTCAATATTTTTAAATATAATTTTTTCAAAAGTCTTCACTTTTGCGAAGTTCTAAAATACAGAAGCTCCTCGAACACTAACAAATTATCGATTTTAAAGCTTTCAAAAACCGATTACGATTATTCACTTTTTTTACGAAGCAAATGAGCGTTTGCCGCTTCGAAATATAAGATTTTGCATTTTACGTGTGCACGCTGGGGTGGGGTCAAATTCAAGAATTCTGAAAATTTTATCGCCAAAGACCCCGCAAATTGGAGAGAAAATACATTCACTGGAAAGAGGAGGAAAAGCTGCATCGAATAACACCTTAGTTGTACGCCGTTTCATGATCCCTGGCTTTTGGCATCACCGAAAGTGGAAATTGATGGCATCAGAAAAATAATTCTAAAAAATTTTCAAGGCTGGCTATAGATGCCGCAAAATTGCATTATATTGCCCTTTGTTTGCTCTATCTAACTGTTGCCAAAGCTTTTCCGAAAGTCAAAAATTAAGGTTGTGAAAAATTGCTAAACTTGGACATAGTAAAAACCATGGGTTCAAAATTTCGGCGTTTATCTCAGTGAACAAAAGATTAATCGGCATGGAAGCATGACAGTTAGAAAGGGAAGGAAAAGATGCGTCGGACAGTGCCTAGATCGTTTCCCTATCTTCGTTCCACGCGTTTTCATGATAGGTTGAAAAAACGGACAAAACTTTCGGGACAACCTAATATATTCTCTTCAGCAGCGTTGAGAAGTTTTAGCTAATTTTGTAGTATCAAGTTTAGGATCCTTCAAATTCGAGTACCTTATACCCGCAGCAGTTACTAATTACACTGTCATGACAGAAATAAAGCAGACCTAGGATTTGCTCTATGTGACCAATCTCCATGAGCTAACCTCTTCCGAGGTTTTAAGCCAAAATTAGTGCCGTTTAGCGAGCTAAGTATTATGAATGCGCGTCGAAAATTAACCGAAAGATTTCGAAAAAGGAATCTCTGAGTTAGGAGGAAGAAAACGCTGAATGAGATTTGAGGTGTTTACTTATCTAAGAGCTCTTTCGGACAAAAGGCGAAGGAACTTTTGAGTCTTTGTACTCACTGCGTGAATCATCAAGTACCCTAACCTTGAATTAAGGAATTAGTACAGTTTTACAAGAGTGTACGAAAAAGGGATGCACAGAAACCTTGTTTGTAGTTCTGCAAAACAGAACCTTGCTCAGTTCAGACATGCTGCATAGCTCTCAGTTGTTCATCTTTACCTTGTACGCTATTTCCTGCCTTGTTTTGGTAGGATGGGGTCTAAAATCTTGAGAATGCAAATTAGTCTAATTGATACGCAAACGAACACGAAAAGAAATTTTGAGGAGGTACTTCAGATGGAGTGTCTGATTATATCTGTTCAAAAAGACTAGTAGCGCTTTGAAGCCATTTACATCTAACAAGGAATGCTTGTTTAGTTTTAGTCGAAGTGGCCTTTTTAGATGGGATGCATACCATATTGAAGGGCATAAAATGCTGATTCCAAATCTGCCTTCCTTCTGCGGAGCGTTTTTGGACGAGGAGTTATGAGCGCTTATTGGGGCCAAAATCGAACGTGCAGGTAGCACAAGAATAGCCGTAATACTTTTTCTAGCTCTTTAATGGAGCAGTGATAATCATCAGAAATTTATCTAAAAAATACTCTCAAATAAAAAATATATCACACTTGGTTGCATTATTTGAGGGCTAGTAAGATTTTAGCAACTCATTTTATCCAAAATGCACGTTAATTTTTGGCTTTAGAACGCTCATAACTTCTCGTGCATAAACGCTCTGCAGATAAGGAAGGCAGATTTGAAGTCAGCGTTTATGCACTTTAATATGGTATATATTTCATTTGGAAAGGTCGCTTCGACTAAACAAGCTTCCCTTGTAAGTTTTTTCAAACATCCAAGGAAAGCTGGAGCAGGGTTACCTAGAATTTTAAGCGGCTACAGGTCATCAGTCTAATAAGTGTGATCATATCATTCTCTCACGGTTCATGACTGGAAAGTTCTAATCATTTGCCAAATGAGCATGAATTTGGCCTTTCTTATGACAATACGAGTAAGGTCATGTTAACAGAAGCATAACATTTATGACCAAAGTTTCAAGTAAGGGCAGCAGGTGAGGCGAAACATCTGGACGTTTGCGTTCTCGCGATTATTAGTTTTACCTTATACGATACTTCCTGCTCGTTGTTTTGGTAGGATGAGTGATCACAGTGATTTTTGCCGCATTGTTATGAATATTATAAGGTAGTCGCGGAATAGATTTTTGGGGAGCGGAGGGGAGGGGGGGGGGTTAGGAATTTGCTCCAAATGGCGTCAGCCAAGCTAATCGGAAGTATTTTTAGGCTGCACTTCATTTTTCGCATCTGCACCCGCCCCCCCCCCCCCTAAACATAAGGAGACAGGGAGGCGCATCGGCAGTCAAAATTGTCGAAAACTTTTTTTTACAACCCTTATCAATCTTCTAAAAATAAGAATATCTGGATATTTAGGGAAGAAGTAACTCTCTTGGCTGATTCTGTAGCTTTGTAATCTACAATACAGTATCTCGCTGCCATGTCTCTGTGAAGTGCCCATTTCTTCTCCCTTCCAACCCCACCCTCTCCTTCCCCCTTTCACGCCAGTAAGAAACTGTATGATTTGGGCTCTCTCAATCAGCGACATATGAGTCGTGATTTTTGAGCATCGTGGGGGAAAATGTAAAGTATGAATCAGTGGGCGAATGCTTATATGAATGTTGAATCAATATACCTCGACATCGAAAACACCTTTTGCCTTTCGATATTGGTCGTCTCATAGTATTTCCACTTAATTTCTTCACTTCCATCATATCTTTTTGTCATTTTGGTATCTACACAACTCTTTGACTAACTTTTCTTGTATATGCTACTAATTTAATTGAAGGATGGCGCGGCGACAATCAGCCTATGGCATTGAGACCAATGCCATGACTCTGCAAAGGTTTGTACTCCGAGAGCAGCGGAAACATCCTTCGGCTACTGGTGACCTCACAAATCTACTTACATCATTGCTTACGGCTTTCAAAGTAAGTTCCTGGCAATATTCTGATCTTATTACTATTTACTACCTCCAAAGAGTAGAAAAATCTCAGGCTATCTCGAGTGCGGTACACAAAGCTGGTCTGGCTAACCTGTACGGTATTGCTGGCAACACAAATGTGCAAGGAGAAGAGGTGAGTCTGACTTGACCAAGTCATTTGGGTTTTTCCTCGGTTTCTCTCAAAATAGTCCGTGCTATAGGTCAAGAAACTTGATGTGTTGAGTAACGAACTGATGATAAACATGGTGAGATCGTCGTACACTTGTTCTGCAATGATTTCCGAGGAAAATGAGCAAGTTAGTTTTTCTTCCAGCTTTATGATCCTACCAAGCTTGTGCAAAAAAAAAACCCGAAAAGCACAATATTTTGGAGGAAGTGGAGATGTTATGATACCCTGAACATCTCAATGAAGATTATTGAGGGTATATAAATTATATCAAGTGCATGTTCATGATTTTTTAATCACTAGTAGCAAAGTTGTAAATGAGATCTATGGGAATACCTCTTTAGGCATAATTTGTTAGCAAAATATTTCTTTTTTCATGTCCTTGATTTCTCCTCGCGTGGATGATGGAGAAAATAGAGTTTAGCTGGATTATCATTGACAGAAAAGTACAGGTATCGTGTAACCCGACACCTGTGAAAACTGCGCTCATGCTGCACCTGCATGCACTTTAGTTCACCAAAGCAGATCATCCAAAAGTACAGAAATAGAAGCACCCTTGACAGGTGTACTTCTAGCACACTTGATCCTTGTAGAACAGAATATACGTTAATGGATTCCCAGGTGTGAATAATACACCGGGAGATTTTCTTACATCAGTCTATTACATATAAGGCAGCGGGGGTTTCAAGAAATTCCTTTCGGGGGACGCGTTCAAACTTTTTGAATTTCTCAAAAATTATTTGTATTGTTACAACTAAAAACAGTGGCCTTCTCAAAAAGTATAATACTTCAGATGATAGAAGTGGAAGAAAGCAAAAAAGGAAAATATATTGTCACATTCGATCCGTTGGACGGTTCATCTAATATTGACTGCTTGGTTTCAATTGGTATGCTTTTCCTTTTTAGCAGATTAGGACCGTTTGAACTTTGTCAACTCCTACTTCAAGGTACTATTTTTGGCATCTGGCGAAAACAGGATGATGGACCGGTAACAAAAGCTGATCTCTTGCAATCTGGAAGGTAGCTGCTGCTGTAGCTTAGCTTTCTTTACCGTGATATGTTTGGGAGTATAGGTCCATGGTGGCCGGAGGGTATTGCTTATATGGATCTGCAACTATGGTCGTGCTCAGCACCGGACGTGGCGTGAACGGATTCACGCTTGATCCCGTTAGTTAATCCCTGTAACAGCGAATTCCTGTTAATTAGTTTTCTCATTCAGACTCTGGGAGAATTTATACTAACCCATCCCAAGATGCAGATACCCTCCAAAGGAAAATACTACAGCATAAACGAAGGTTACGCAAAACAGTGGCCCAAAGGCCTTGCTGAATACGTGCATACGAGGAAGTTCCCTGAGGTACGCGACGTTATGGGCTTGATTTGTGTTTTTTACTCCATTAACCCGTTTATGACGACGCCTAATTTTGCGTGGCAGCGCTGTGGGACGACGCGATTTTGTGGTTATTTACGAAATGCAAGGTGTTTTGTGGACAACTATAAACATTTTTTGAACGACGGAGCCTACAGATCCCAGGAGTGCAAAAAATTGGAAGTATTAGGTTGTCCGGAAATTAATGCAGGTTTTGATTTCCAACCGCCATAAGTCATATGTATATTTCTCATTTTTGAATAGATTGCAAGGTACTATTCGATAGAGCAAAGCAGGCTCTACAAGATGGCTGTTTTGCTTTAGAAACAGCTCTGATTCACTATGAGTTTCGCGCCAAAAACTGAAAAGATTCAACTGCCTGAAAAATTGAAAAGAATCGTAACTCAGTTTATAAAAATCCTACAAAAATTCTAACCTGCTCACGTAAACACAATCCACATAAAGCATCTTTGTACGCCATTGCCGTATTTTTTTCAATGCTAGAAATCAAGGAAACGGAAATTTTCGTGCATTTGCTAAAATGGTGCTGTGCCATTCCCACATAAGTAGTTGTATAGTACATGCCTGTAGAAGTACAAACGTAAATTTCCAGCTCTCTACAAGCTTTAGTTCTCGAGAAATATCGAATACAGTTTTCCCTAGCCATGTGGTTCATGCTAAAATTCAAATTTTTCGCGAACTAAAGCTTGTAGAGAGCTGGAAATTTACGTTTGTACTTCTACAGGTTTGTAGTATACAACTACTTGTGTGGGAACGGCACAGCACCACTTTGGCACATTCACGAAAATTTCCGTTTTCTTGATTTCTAGCATTGAAAAAAATACGGCAGTGGCGTACAAAGATGCTTTATGTGGATTGTGTTTACGTGAGCAGGTTAGAATTTTTGTAGGATTTTTATGAACTGAGTTACGATTTCTTTCAATTTTTCAGGCAGTTGAATCTTTTCAGTTTTTGGCGCGAAACTCGTGGTGAATCAGAGCTGTTTCTAAAGCAAAACAGCCATCTTGTAGAGCTTGCTTTGCTCTATCGAATGGTACCTTGCGGCTACTTAGAAATGAGAAGTGTATGACTTATTGCCATTGGAATTCAAAACCTGCATTAATTTCCGGACAACCTAATAATATTGATGCATGGAAGAAATACCGGATCTCCAAAGTATATGATTTCGCGACAGGTGTGGTCACCGTGAACAACCGTAAGCAAGGTGTAAGGTTGTTTTGTAAACAACTGTAAACATTTTTGAGGACAACGGGGTCTGCAGGTCCCAAGAGCATCGTGAAATATTTCGAGCACAAAAAATCGGAAACTATTAGACCTAGGAAGGATATGCTTTTGCTGATAGTGTGGACCACCGTGATCCACATCTCCACCGGCAGCAAAAAGTGCGTGGGCCATCGGTGGTCCACATTGTCGTGGGTTAAATGATAGCTCGGTCAGAGTGTGTTATTTAAAGCACCAACAGGAAAAACTAAAAATCGTGCGTTTTGATTTAGATTTTTGAATATTGTAATATCAGTCACACAAGTTTTTTACCGTGGCAAAGTACTAACCTTGATAATAGTTGAAAAAAGTTGTTTATGCTACATATATTACTAGTTTAATTATTTTATTTGAGTCATTATGCATTATAGTTGTGGCAAACGGAAATTCTCATCGAATGAACGAATATTATTCGAATTCGAATATTCGAATACGGGCACGTTCGGAAATTCGAACCAGATATCGAAACCGAAGTTGATTGAATTCAACTATTAAAACAAATGAATATTCGAATATGCTAACGCAATATTCAATTATCCGAATGCAATATTCGAGTACTGAATGCATTATTCGAATAATCGAGTATTCGAACAACTGTTTTTTGAAACTTCTTGAGTATTCGAATACTCGAAAAAGTGTTCTCTAAAATTCTTCTATTCGAATATTCCCAATAAATTACTTGAAATCTAATATTCGGCTTCAAACACAAAATTTGAGGTTTTCGCTATGCTAATCAGATTACATTTGTTTGAAGTTATTGTATTAGCGTTGCATAAATCAGTGTTTTACCTGTCATCAGTGTGATGAATCCACTGTTGAAATCCCCATTCTCTTAGTTTGGCTCGAAAACTCTGCTGCACAAACAGCGAATTATATTGATTTATAATGGGTTCGCAACCGTCTGCTTAGTTTTTCTTGTGTATCCTATTTATCTTTCGACAGGATGGCAAGAAAGGAATGGCACTGAGGTACGTAGGATCCATGGTTGCTGACGTTCACCGTACCTTGCTCTATGGCGGAATATTCCTCTACCCAGCAACTGCTGATGCACCAGAAGGAAAGGTATGTACATTTTGTACATTTATGTACATACTTTCTGTAGAATATCGGAATTTTAATTTGAAATTGACTGATTCCAGCTTCGTTATCTCTATGAATGTGCACCAATGGCCTTCTTGGTAGAGCAAGCTGGGGGAGTTGCTACAACAGGCGAGGTGAGAATTTACATCCCTAGATTTCCAATGCTGGTGTTGTTTATCTTCTTGCAGCATGATGTGCTCGATCATGTTCCCAAGGACATTCATGAACGAGGAATCATATACCTGGGAGGAAAAGAAGATATGGAAGAGTTTTTATCTTACCTCCACAAGAAATAAGCAGCTCAAAAGTACCAACGGTTTTTGCTCAAACATCCATCTCTAACATGCATTGCGAGAATAAAGTATTTTTCAATGACTGCAAAATAATAGAATATACAGAGATGGGTATCAGAGCTTCGTCACACCAGACAAATAGTTGAGGTTACCGGTCTCCTCGGGGAACGGCACTTCTGAATCGCTGGGTACGGCGGCGCGCCTCTGATTGCTTAGAGCGTCAGCGTTAGCTGTCATCGGGCAGGCTTTGAGCAGGACAAAACGAAGGCGAGAAACCTACGGCATCGAAAATGATGTCGACCATGACTCCTAATCGTTTCCAAATTATCATACATATTATGTGGGAAATTTTTCAGTCGGTACTTCTCATTACCTCGAAAACAACCCTTAATTCTCAAGAAAATTCCAATTTTTAGTGAAATTTGTTCGAATTGTCAGTGTCGCTGATCATTTTTGTTCTAGCAGACGTTGTCGCTTTCAATAAGCACATTGATAATGTTCAAAGTAACGTTCGGGCAGAATGCCTTATCACTTATATTGCCACAGTACCCCCACCTCCTTAATTGAAGCAACACCGAGGCGCTTCACCTGTAGAAACAAACGCATGTTCATGGAAAGGAAAATGCATACCCCATTGAGCTTCAGGTTTATTCGTCTATTCAAATTATGACTTTGGCTTAATTTCTTTCAATCCCTTCATTTAGCTCTTCATTGAAAGCTGTACGTCCCTCGAGTACGCTACTATATAACAAACGTGGAGGGGGACTTGTAGGGTGCGCAGCTTGATTTTGTCGTGATTTTTACTGAAAGAATGTCCGTCATGCCCATCATGTACCCTGGAAATAATTACTCTCCTTCAAACAAGTGTTCAAAAAAACACATACCGGTATGGTATTTATTTGATATCGTACAGGAGTAAAGCTATGATCTTCCTCCCCCCCCCTTTACCGTTTGCTAGCACCTATGTTATGCGTCTTTGACTGCTTTTTCAAAAAGAAAGGCTCTTTATTGCAATGTACTGCATTTTCAAAAAATTTCAGAAGGAGGCGGATCTAAAAAAATAAATCGTCTAGTTGATTTAAGAAGAATAGATCGAAAGAAATTTGCTTGACATTTCAATCTACAGCCTCTCAGGTCTTAATGGTTCGTTAGATTCCGGCTGCTGATGTAGTTTACCTGGCGAGCACTTTCCTTTTTTTCGCTTAGCTTTGCTTGTGTTCTTTCTGATGATAATGATCAGGCTACAGCAGATTAGAATACTCGAAAAGCTGCTGCATATAATTGAACTACATTTGTCCACCTAGAAGCGATGAAAAGTTTTCTGATATCTTTCACGACATCGAAAATTTTCTGTCCTACACTGATAATAATATGTAATTTTGCTAGTTTTATTAACCTGCGAGGACCAAGAAAAGACGTCATATTTCTGTAGAATTTTGGAGGTATTCAAGATTTGCCATGTGGCATGTTATGAGTGAGACGAATTTAGCGTTGCTAGTTGCTTACTATGGATGAGCCTCAATCCATCTTTTTGATTCTTGAGTATGATAAGTAAGGCCTGGTGATAATTGTGTAAATTGAAACATTTTGGCGGAACATCCATTTCACGGCTAGATGCTCAAACATGGCCTAGGGGCTCCATACACGCTGCCGGGATAAAATTATTTATCAAAATAAGATTTATTACCTAATATTACATGGCACATATTTTACAGTCGGCAATATTTTAATCAGCATGGTTCAGCCTGTAGATTGTCGCAGTTGTCACACTCTCTGTATCGCACTCTTATCTGAAAAATGATAATTTCACTGAGTCGTAGTACAGCCCAAGAACTCTCTGACCATTCTTTCGCCTCCCCTAAACTGACATGCACCCCATTCTTCCCACGGCGATTGTTCTGCCTGCCCTGAGTGGGTTTCTGCAAAATAGAAAGTTACGTTCACGTAAGCATTTTCTTCTAAAGACTTCCAATATCTTCCCCGCAAGCGCTAGGATGGACTGTTCCTTAGCCCACCTATTTTATTGGACAACAATGAGGGAAGTGTTGAAGCGGTGAGCTGGCAACCGTTTTCAATCACCATCGTTTGTTCGTTACCATCGACAAGCAATCCGGAATCGGTGGCTGGAGACGCGCCATGTAAAATACATAAACCGATTTTATACGTCACAGCCTGGAACAGAAGTTAACATGCAATGAGAAAAGTGAAATTGTGTCAGATTTCCACTCACTTTGCAATCCTTGGTATCTATACATGCTGCAACACAAGCGACCACTGAGTTCATTCCAGGATAGGAAGTGATAATCTTTTTGTGCATTTGTTTGAATGGATACACGATGTAAGGAGTCTCAGCTGAGCAGTCTTTCTTAGCTAAAAGATCTAATTTAAGTTGACCATGACTATTGAAAAACAAATCACTCGCCTTCAACGCAAAATTTGTCAGCGAATATGTAGTTACTATCTGCTGCCAGAAGAGCTGTATTTCGGTCAGATCTTGAGCGCCTCCCGTGAAGATAGCATTTTTCCTCTATAGGTTCATAGTTGGCTGAATAGCATGGAGTTGATTCGCCTTTTGAGTTCTGAAAGTTTACTTTTTGAACTGACTAGCAGACTGCGGACATGAAGCGATTTTCTCAACTGACGATGTTTTGGCTACAGTACATAATGCAGCTACTCTGGTCGATGCCTCTGAGTCGTGCCGTTACACTTTTCGTAGCAAGACGGTAGCCGAATAAAACAAAATAGCTAATCTTTTCCTTTTTCGTGCATTCTAAAAAATGCTAGTACGTTTCTACTATTGGTATTCTTTTAACTTTCAAGTACCACTGCTGCGGGTTGGATTCAAGAAAGTTATGGTTGAAGCATCCCCAGAAGACCGACTGTCGTCTTCCTCCATATGTGGCAAATATGGTGGTGTCGAAGACGTCACAGATGTTGTATCCTGGTAATCCACTTGTTATGTCAAAGTTGGAATTATATACTGTTTTTCTCACCGTCAATGGTTCCGAAGTCTGCAGATTGACGAAATCTGCGTATTTCGAAATATCAACTGTATTAGAAACTCGTTCAGAGCGTGCTGCATACTGTCGTGGCCTCTGCTTGTAACCGCGTTTGGGTACTAAAACATTTCTTTTTGAGAGAGGATAACAGAGTATGATACTACTGTTCCACTTTTTATAGCAAATAATTCAGTCAAAGGGAACTAAAATGAGTAACTTACAGGTATTCAATGCGGGGTAATCTTTTTAGGGTCCCTCTGCCAGCTCTCTTCTCTAGGAAGCTGCGCAAATGCTATCACCAAAAAAGTGGTCCCTTCTTTCGGCAAGTAAGACAGAAAAAGGTAAATTCCAAAAATTGTACAAAAAGTTTCTGACAGCTGAGTTGTCATTTTCAAAGTGAATAACAAGAAAATGGAAATTGACAGATATGTTTTTTGATTGCATATAGGTTTGACAAACGACGAACTAACCAACTTTATCCTGACAAACTCCAGCCCAGCTAGTGCGCTCGTAGAAGTCGTGGTCATCGACGGGTACAACGACGGAACCTGCATAAAGTAACTTCGACAGGAGACAGAAAACGTAATGAAAAGGCAAGCCCTTTGAAAGCTGAATGGGCAAGATTAAAAATAAAAGAAACATTTGATGACAAGCAAAATCGATGGCATGGTCTGGCGCTTTCATATCTGGGACATTAGTTGAAATATTACGAGCCTTTCTGCATGGATGTTTTCTAACAATAAGTCTTGACGAAAGCGAAAGAAAAATACTCAGTTATTTGACGCATCTAACAACTCACCATTAAAATTGCCATTGTGCCCGTAGATCTGACAAGTTGAGTGAAGCTTGTGATAGACGGCTGAGGCGCATCCATCCTGTGAACATATCATGCAGTAAAAATGACAACCCATAAAAGACTCGACTTACTCCCATTTTAGCAGCATTCATAATACAGTAATTGAGGCAGTCGCCTATAGTCACACGAAAAAGCTCAGAGATTGATTGCGAATTCGAGACTGCATGGTTGGGTTTGTATACGAAACATTTAGATGCTGAAAGTTCATTGTTCATTATTCACGGTTCGGTTGAATATATTTCCAAGTGATAATACAACTGACTGTGTTTTTGAAGAGCCATGTAAATGTAACTAATTTGCATTATACAAGTTCTGCCATCTCAATAAATCTTACAAGCTTTGTTCATCGCTCGAAGGAGATCTGCTCCACAAAGTGGAAGATCCACCCTCAAAAGGTTCTACGGGCCTACCATCTGATCGTAGCAACATATATAAGGCATTCTTATAATACAGTAATCTTGGGGATGATATCAGCCCTGAAGTACAACTATAAATTTACATCCGTGGTGCCCTAGTTCCTAAAAATTATGGAAATTAGCATAAGTCTCGATGACGACATTTTTGTATTTTTGGCCAACTTTTGTTTCCCGACCGATGCATATATGAATGTTTGCATTTACTCTGCGATGGCTAATTGGGATGTCCGCAGAAATTTTTCTCGAGGACTTACTTGGAAAATTTTTTTTTTTGATTCTCCACTTGGATCATGATTATGTAATGTCCGGTGACCGCTTTGTGGAGCTCCTTTTTTTCTCAGATATCAGGTTCATGCCAAGTGACTTTGGCAGAACTTATGTGCACGAATGAGTAACTCAATACATCGTACACTTTGACGAAACTTTGGGTAGGCAAAAATGTGAATTTATTATAGCTTAAAAATGCAAAAAAATTTTCTTCGAATCTTGAGAACAAAAAGAACCTCACTTATTTCAAAAAATCTTATTGACACAAAGCTAGAAGGAGAATGGCAGGTATCGAGCTGGAGTTTTTGAGGAGCAAAGGGGTCACGGTAGATTCACGTTAAATGAATGTTTGGAGTTTCCATTGTTACACTAGCGGGGTTGTTATCCGCTAAGGTTAATCACAAAGATAGAGCTTCTTCCATTTTCTTATCTTCTTCTTTTGGTAGGTTATCTAGGGTTCCTTTGAGAGCTAACTAAAGCTTGATTGACACATCCCGTTTTCACTGCTCTGCTTTCAACTTTTACCCAACATTCCGCTTTTTACTTTCAACTTCTGTCTTCAGAGACTTCAAAGACTCGCTTATGAGTATCTCTGGTGCGTATGAAACTGGCGTGCATAGCAAAACTACAAAATATTTATAAATTTTGATGATTTGGCGTCCTGGCTCAAAAAATGGCAGGCTAATCAAGAAAAGGCAGCCTCATTAATGCACAAGGTAATTGGAAGAAGCAGAATCACTTACTAAATGTGCTGGACGAGGTGGAGTAAATGAGGGTCACCGAAAGCAACAACCGAAGTATGACAGTGACCATGGGCGCACGTAACGTACAACAATGAAACAGTGAAAGCGAATTGAGCGAATGATTGACCCAAATGATCCAATCCAAGGATAGTTCAGCATGAGATCTCGTTTCTATTAGCGTCTTGAGAAAGTCATCAAGCATATGCAGTTTTGTGGTCGAGGCAGAAGCCTAATGTAGGTCTTTTTCTCCTTTCCGAATGGAATACTTCCTGCTACAATTTGTTACCATTTACTTTATTCCTTTGATATCCCTTTGATGCATGATGAAAACTACAGGACACAGATATAATTCGAGAATTGACTCGAAAACACTCAGAGAACAAATAATAATCAAGTCACGCTCAGCTTTACCTAAAATATCAATCCGAAAAGAAAGTAACACTGACCAGGAGTTGAAAGTGACAAAATAGTCAAACAGTCTGCGGCAATGAAGGATATTGAAAAGATGAAGGGCACGGAAAAGTTTACTGTGGAAGAGTTCCTGGCAGAGAAATCCGTATTCTTCCATCCTTCATTGTTAAGCTAGTAGCTATAGCTTTCGATCCTATAAACCCGTTTCACTGACAAAAGAAACGAATATGAGGGAACATTACAAGAAAGTCTAGAATAACACATCATACATACATATCAACACGTTTCTGAACAATTTTTTCAGGTAGCGAAAGCACATCTATTCATCTACACACTATGCGCGAAAGCATAAAATGTCCCTAGGAATTCGTGTAATCGTGTTGCTTTCAGGCCTTCACCGCCATGGACGTCGTCTACACCTCAGCGCCGAGGATGCCTCGCTACTGCTCGGAAAATATATTGTTTCCATAGGACATTCAAGCAACTCTTTTGAGACCTAAATACATGCTCCCGTATGGTTTATGACGTAGTGTTCGTAAAAATAGCAATGAAATGGAACTATCAAAGTGTGAATACCTATAATATGTAGCTTTCTTTGGTCCTAAAGGCAGACCTTAATTGGAACCAGGGTTGAGCGTGGGGTCAGGCGCGCCCGACCTGGGGGGTCGTACTGGGGGTAAGACAGGGGGCGGGGGTCTTGATTAGGAATCGAATTCATTCAGTTGGGAGATACTACGATTAAGGTGAAGATGAAAAGCGCTAGTCCAGTGGATATCGCAACCTCACCAGTACTGAAGGAATGAACGGTCTTAAAGGCAGCGGCTCGGCAGATTTTCGTTTTCCAGTTCTTTACCTTTTCGGAGCCTTTTTGGCATGAGAAACCCATATCTGGGCTTTTCAGCGCACGAAAATGGCAAAAATGAGCTTTTTCCGGAGCTTTTTATGTCCGCATTCAGTGAAGATACGCCGGAAAAAGCCGCGCCCCGCCTTTTTCGTTCTGCGCCCCGCCCACTTCTGCACTGGATGCGGACCTAAAAAGCTTCTGAAAAAACGAATTTTGCCATTTTCATGCGCTGAAAAGCTCAGATATAGGTTCCCCATGTCGAGAAGGCTCCGAAAAGGTGAAGAACTGGAAAACGAGATTCTGCCGAGCCGCTGCCTTTAACACGTTTCGGACCGCGAAATCGCGCGCGGCGAAAAAGAGTGTACTTTCAGCCGTTAGCCTACAAAGGGACCTTTTTCGCAGCCTATGGGCCACATTTGTAATCAGCATGTCAGATAAGCTCCATATCCAAAATTCTGAGTGAAATCGAAGTGTTTGAATTTTGTCGCTTGAGAGGGACTTTGTGCTTTCTTGAAAGATAGGAACAAGAACTCAGATTCTAATAGTATTCAAAAGTATCTATGTTGGACACGGTACACATCAGTATCAAAACTACGGTTTTTCTCCTTGATATCAAAGCAAAGGAAAGTTGCGGCGTCGCACGCGTCGTTCGCGTCGCCGCACTTCGTTGCAACTGTTGTTCGATATGTGCTCATATCTCCTAAACAAATATCGGCGGCACAACTATACAGAGTCATTTGAAAAGTAGGAGCTTAGACCTTAACTTAACAACTTCAGACTAAAAGGAAACCTTCTGCAAACGCCAGAAAGATCCCTCAAAGCAGCGTGCTGCACCATGTGCAGCACCGGTCCGAAACGTGTTAAACAACGTACTGACTGATTCCACAATCGAAGTTCCGGCCAAAACTCAAATCTTCATCTTTTACCTTGACATATTATAAGGTCATCAAGGAAGCTTGCTGTGTGAAACAGGTATCATTTCCGAGCACTCAAATTACCTCTATGAGCTCTACAAACCATTACTTACTGCATTATCTAGTGTTTCTCAACGACTGAAAAGCGTGATTTTCAAACATGATTAACTTGTTTTCAAAAGTGAGAAAAGTCAACTTCTTTGTACTCGTAACAAAGTATTGTTCCCTACAAGTCTATGCTAAAAATCACGCTTTCTATCGCTTGCAAACAATGGAGTAAGAAATAATGCCAAAATTCCAACCTGCACGTTTTTCGCCACGAGTGCTTCAACACCAAGGATTACCACAAGGCCGAAACAAGTCGAGTCAAGTCCAAACACTTGCTGTGGAATCTTCGAGGGTTGTGCTAGCAATCAACATAAAACTTGGGTAAAAAAGCTTCTTCGATGATAAAGTTAATCGGGTCAGGCGCAACCCCTCAAAAGGTCAGGCCGCCTGAGTTGAGGGGTTGCGCCTGACCCGATTAACTTGCTTTCAAAATCTAAAAATCGCTCCATTTCTGCTATGAGTATTGAACTCAAAGCCTCTTCTTGCAATATTGCAAATTTGGAGCCAAACAATTCACTCCTGTGGGAATTATAGCTCTAAAAATAAGGCTATCCAAATCCAAAACTTGCCGTCAAGTTGCGTGTGGCTGTGCAATCGCAGAAAGTCCACCTACAGACGTCCAAAAAACAAGAACCCCCCCCCCCAAAACGGCTGATCTCTTCGAAACATCACAGCCTGAGGCCCTGGAGGTGAGACGGAGGGGTCGTTTAGGGGCTTTCACAGGGGGAGGGGGGTCGTTTTGGAAGGACTTGTGCCTGACCTCTTGCTCAACCCTGATTGGAACTATCTGTACTCAGGATGGTGTGTATTGTTTGAAATATATGATTCCTAATTTTCTCGTACGCTTTCCCCATTTTCGTTTGTTAAACCCCCCCCCCCCCCGGCATAGTCATTATTTAGAGACGGAATCACAGTAAATCACCTTCACTAACGGTCACACTATAATTTTTCTGGCGAGGAGGGGGATGGAGATTTTTTCCAAGTAAAGCTCTTGAATATTTTGTGCGCTTGCAACCCTGCGTTTTCAACACAGAAGGGTATGGTCTCCGCCACAACCCCGAAAACATTTTCACAAAAATTACTGAGTTTGTAAATTTATTTCAACCATTAACATTACAAACAGCTTAGGTATAAATTTCGTGTCGCGTTCAATGTAAAAGAATATAATTTCAATGAGTTTTACATTAGCAAAAGAGCTTTTGGCTTTGAGCATTCGCAGTTATTCTAGTTTTGCGTGAATAAAGTAAGGATAGCGAAAGTTAGGTAGGTAGGCTAGCTGCTTTTTGTCCCCCCCCCCTCCGCGGAAGTCCTGGAACGCCACCGCTTCCGCTAGTGTAATAAGAAGATAGTCGAGCTTTGCAAAAGGTTGATATCTACAGCAGATCTAATAAGGCTCTGTTGCTATAAATCAAGCATACGCCAGGGATAGACAACAACATGAAATTCCTCTAATCATTTCACATTACAGTGTCAGAACACAATGAAGGGTGATATCTGCTATTGCTTTCTGCTAGTTCAATTTTATGTGGTCGGTCAAGTTTGTGTGAGCAGAAAGTTTTGATCTCGCCAAATGTCAATCTTTCTTAATGCGCTTTTGCGCACCCTGAAAGTTTTGAATTCGCCACATTTGTCTGTTAGCCTATCTATACGAATTTGTTCGAGTTTGTGAAGCTATATCTAAACTTCATAGACTAACATGCTAAAGTTTTTCTGTCAGTGTTGGAAAAGTTAGTAAATTAGTCGTAAATAGCATGAACTGCTTTGTTTACTAGAAACTGAAAGAAAGCCGAGGTTTAATGTTCTATAGTTTTCACAAAATTTACGTCTGCTAGAATGTATTTCGGATTGTGTTCATTGCATGAAATAGACAACGAAAAAGAAGAAGTGCGATAATAGGCGGTGCGAAAATTTGTGGTTGTTTTCAGACTTACCTTAAGATCGTTCAAAGTGAAGATAGGCAAATACTCTAAACTGGATTCGATGCAGAAATCTTGCTCTTTCTAGCAGTTCTTTTGTTGTTCCAAAATTTTTGATCGTTGCTCGAAATAAATGAAGCCCAACCCATAGCTTCCATGTACGTACTCTTATTTTAGTTTTTTTGAAATTTTCATCCCAGATTTTTGAAAGAGATTTGATGATGATTTGATATAGCAAGCAAAGCATAATAAAATGCATTTTATTGGCACCCGCAAATGGCTTTGCAAAAATTTTGAAATTTTTTTGTGCTCCCATATTTCATGATTGGTCACCACATCTCCGGAATATCAAACAGCGAGCCTTTACGATAAAACCCTTTCTTCTTGATTTTTGTAGGCTTCGAGAATGAAATCAACATAATCCTTGATTCTGAACGCACCTCATGCTATACCCGCAAATGTGATTTGATATTTTGAAGCGGTAAACGCTCAGCTGCTTATTAGGGTCCAATCATAGTCGATCTTTGAAACTTTCTGATTTCGAAGATTTATCAGTGTTAGAAGAGGAGCAGTCTCAGAATCAGCTTCAGTGGCACAATTTACCTTCATTACGATGATCAAATTCTCTTCTTGAAGTTGATTACTTGTCAGCATTGTAGGCATCAGTAGCAGGTTACCTATCGAGAAGAACAGAGGGCAAGGACCTTAAGAAGAACCTTGGGATCTCTTTTGACCACAGCAGCTTCATCGCGCTACTCGTTTCTTCTCTGCGCTGGAAGGGCCTTGCCTACCCTAGTACCCTAGCTATACCATAAAATAGAGCCGCCACATTCTTGGTGCATCGGCAGGGAATGTGAATCCCGGCCACCTTCGTGCG